ACACTCACTAAAATGCTATTTTAAATTGAAAGTCATCTATCGTTTAGCGATTAAGTGTGTATTTTTTGTCAATTCAAACAGAAACGATAATAATTATCATTTCACACTCTTTATGAATCAGCATTCTTATGACTCAATAAAGACAATTGTAAACAATAGGATTGTGATCTCGATTGTCAAGGCGAGTCATAAATTGCAATCGATGTATCGTTCAGCTCATCTTTAATTTTCACACGAACCCATTAGAGTGGGCAAAATTTTTTGCTGATTTACGACTGATTTTGAGCAAAAAAATAAAATTTTAGTGAAGAATTGAAGCGACAAATTTTTGATATATATTTTGATATAATCATATTCTCTATTATTTTAAGAGAAACAATCGAATACCAAAAATAACTGCTACAATATATTTCATCTCGAAATGAAAATGCAATTAAACACATCAACATGAAAATTACGAATAGAAACTGCTCCAGTGAATAAAAATAATTCACTATGAAATTGAGCTGACCTAAAGCAATCTTGCCAAACTCGCCTTTCAAGGGCTGCTTTCTCCTTTCCTGTGCGAAGGAGAAGCCTCCACTCCTAACTAGCGTATCAGTGTCGAAGGTTGCAGTACGTGCCAATTCATCCCGACGACGGCATGCATTCGAACGTTCTCCTTAAAATTGACTCGAAAATAAAACTGCAGCCTTGATTATCGAAAATAAAATTGCATTCGAACAAATCGCAACCGTAAATTGACGATGACCCGGTTCCGTGAATATGATTCATAACTATCCTATAACTCGATAACGATAGCTGTCATGCACAAAATAATCTATGTAATGATATTGTATCTAGAGGATTTCGCAGTCGTTACAGGCTTTCAGTTCTTAGTTTGCTTCAAGCGCTCAAGCAGTCGTGTTCCTTTCCGCTAATGATTGACTTGCGTTCGCTTGTTGCGTAACTATTGATTGCCTCAAACATCTAGCATGATCGCATGAGGTTGTCAACGTGTCATCACCAAACAAATAATATGGGCATGAAGTGTCGTCGAAACTAAGCCCTTTTGAATATCTCTTGAATTGAGATTGAATTCCTATGTGTTTATCTCTTTGAGATCAAACTTCTG